TAAAAGGACTCTTTCGTATTTGTGCCCAGATACCACTGTTGCCAGGCAAGTTTCTGATCCTGGTGCCTGTCTATTTTCTTTCTTTCTATCCTTTCCTCTTTATTCCTCCCTCCATCTCTCTATTCAATTGTGTATATTTAGTGCCTACCCTGTGACAGGTAAGTTCTATAAATGCCAGTGTTTGTAGAATAGTAAAAAGTAAATGTGGCAGAGACACAGCAACCGAAAAGAAGACAGAGAAGACCTGATCACATTGGAGGGATGGCTGGAACGGTAGGCAATCTGGTACCAGACAGGCAAGTTAGAGAGAATTTGGGAGAGAGAAGGTTGATTTTCAAAAAGATAGCAGCTACCAGGATGATAAGCAGACGTTTTCTTGCTTTGTTTTTGTTATTAGAGTGTGGTGGATCAGGGACAATCATTCCAAGGACGTGGCATCTGAGCAAGACTCTGGAGCAGCTGCAGGGGAAAAGGGTTATAAAGGCCAAGATGTTCAGGCCATGCTTAAGGAACAGGGGGTAGGTCAACACCAAAGACAGAAGAGGGGTGCTGAGCTCAGGCAGGGCCCGACTGAGCCACATAAAAATCCCTCGCCATCTAGTCAATTCCAACTCGTGATGACCTTGTCAGACAGAGTAGAACTTCCCCAGGGAATTTCCAAGGCTATAAATCTTTCCAAACACTGACTGTCACACCTTTTACCCGAAGAGCGGCTAATGGGTTTGAACCACCAACTTTCTGATTACCAGCTGAGTAACTCAGTCATTGCACCACCAAGATGCCTCCCCAGGCTGCCTGAGAAGAGTATGTCTCAGTCTGCTCTTTACGAGAGGAACCAAAGGTTTGGGGAGTGAGGGCATCAGATGGCTCTGCTGCTGACTGCGAGCTCGCTGTCAGCTGCCAACGAAGCCAGAGGCCAGAGAAGCTGAAAGGAAGCACAAGGAACCCTGCCAGACTCCTGGGTGCTTAACCCCACACTGCCAGGAAGTCTAGCAATAGTCAGGAGGATGGAGCTCTCATAGATACAAGTGTTCCAAGAACACAGAGATAAAGCCACAGGGACAGAGTCCTGAGTTCTTCCATCTCCCCAAGTGGCACATCGTGTCTGCTGCCACCTTCGTCGGAGGGCAGACGATTCTAAGTGACACTCCAGAATGCTGAATGAAGAGAGGTCACACAGCCTCCTACAGACCAGGTGGTGGTTATGAAACTGGGCCAGGGAAAGCAGCATTGCCTGCCTCCCCCGAGGATTGGGATTCAGGTCAGTTTTCACTGATGGCCCTCGGGGAAGGACAGAACTTACCTGGAACTGCAAGGAATCAATTGAAACCTCATCCCAGTTTTCCTCTTCAAAAGCCTTTGTCCCATTGGTCACAATATTGGCACGGAAACGAGAGATGAGATCGCTCATGGGGAATAATTCCTCCTTTCCATTTTCATCACTGTTCGAGACATACCCAAAAGGTAAAGAGGCGGGGGAGGTCATTGCTACCTTGTAATAACCCAGCCACAAGGCAGGTGATTTCAATTCTATTCTGGCTTGGGGCCCGGGTGATTAAGACAAGCATTAACCACAAATATAATGTCAAGGGCACCAGTCTATTAAACAGACATTGATGCCCCTTCCCTTAGTGGTGGATGATTCAGTCTCTGGAGCCAGGACCACAGGAGGCAATGTGAAGGGCGAGTAACTTTCAGCTGAATGGGTGAATAACTTCAGAAACCAGATGAACAGGTCTTATTCTCCGGGGTAAGAGGTCATACTCGCCGGCTAGTCCAGAAGAGATCTTACCTCCTGCTTAACTGCTGTTGAAGTTCCAAAACACTTGACCTGTTGAGCAGCAAATACTGGGCTTCATTCACCAAAGAAAGGGTGGCTGTGGTCCCAGGAGAGGGATCTAAAAAACATTGGGGCATTTAAAATAAAGTTGCTTTCTTGGAAGGCAAATGAATCATGTTGAGGCTAATTCTGCAAATGAAGAAACAGTGCCCTGGAAGTAATCAAAGTGTTCTAAGTTGGGTCAAACCTCTCGAAAATGGGAAGGAAAGTGAGTTCCTAGAATTCACTACATGAAATAATCCAAAAGAGAACACGCTGAATTGAAATTCTGCCCACAAAGCCTTAGAGATGATACTGAGAGGTGGCAAGATGAACGAGGAGGAGGAGTGCCAGGCAGATGACCTCTTCTCAAACAGCGAAGTGAGAGGGGTCGTGATCAGGCAAACAGGCAGGAGGGAGACCTTACGAAAAAATCTAATCCCTGAAAAGCTATTTACCTTTGAGTATGTGTGAACTTACTTTAGAAATATGTTTTCTTGTATGAGCAATGCAACAAAACTACTAAAATAATAACACAATTATACTAGAAGGAAGGAAATATACAAATATACTGAGTTAAGATATCCAGGTAGAACTTCAAGAAGCCTATCATTAGCTTTGATCTGTTGGACGGGCACCCCGTTACTACAACAACATAACTAGAGTCATGTTGTTGTTGTTGTTATGTGCCATCGAGTTTCTTATGCCTCATAGCGACCCTATGGACAAGAGCCCTAAATGCCGTTCTGTCCTGTGCCAATCTCGCCATCTCAAACACACTTATTCCCACCACTTCATTCACAGAATCGATCCATCTCATCGAGGGTCTTCCTCTCCTGCACCGTCCCTCTACTCTGCCAAACATGATGTCCCTCTCCAAGGACCAGTCCCTCCTTGCAACATGCCCAAAGCATATCAGATGAGCTTCAAATCCTTGACTCCAGGGAGCATTCCAGCTTCACCCTCTCCAGGACAAAACTGTCGGTTCTCCTACCAGTCTATGGTATATCAGATGCATCAATCAAATTATTCAGTCTCACATGGGGACCCCATATGCTTCTGAGTTGAGCTGTGCTCCATAGTTCACAAGGCTGTGGCCATTTAAAAGTGTATCGCCTTGTCTTTCTTCCAAGGTGTCTCTGGGTGTACTTGAACTTTCAACTCTTTGGGTTGGTAGCAGAATGCTTATCCATTTATGCCACCTAGGGATTCTTATCATATTACAAGATGTTGATCAGAAGGTGCTGTGACAGAGCCTACTGCTCTCTTCACATTCAGTTAGTGGACCTGGTGTACAAGAGAGTGGGAATTTGTAAAAGAATTGCTTTCAGATCCTTCGCTTCAAAAAAATCCAGGCTGCTATAAAGGCTTTGCCTGAGAAAGGAGATGTAACCCCAGCCTCACCCAGAGCAGACCCTTCTCCCACTCAACAAAGGGAAGAATCTCCTATGGTGGATTGCCCCTTGGCAATCTAGGGTAGAAAACAAAGGTTCCATTTAGACCCTGAGGTTGGCACTGAGAAAGTAAGTCTCTAGAGCCTGAGTGCTCCTTAGAGGCAAAGATAGTGGAGTTTCACCTCTCAAATGTTGCTAGCAGAGGCCATTTCTTGGAAAAGGACATCATCCTTCAAAATGTGGAGGGTCAGTGGAAAAGAGGAAGACCCCCAATAAGGTGGACTGACCTGGTGATTACAGTAATGGGCTCAAGTGTATCCGAGATGAAGAGAAGGGCGGAGGATAGGACAGGATTCATGGGTCGTACCTGACACATCACCTAAAAACAATGATTATGCAGCTTGAATGATCCCGCGGTTAAGTCAGGCAGAGTCCAGGTCTTTGCACCATCCAACTGAATTCAACCGGGTCATTGAATTAAAGTAATTTTCACTTGATTCCTTGTGTTTCAATCACATGCCTCAGAAGAAAGGTTCCAGCAATGGTATTAACTAAATTCCTCCATCCTCAGCTCTTTATTTACATACATGAGTATTCTCCAAAGAGAATCAGTAATGAGCGCCAGCTATTTGACTGTCAATGAGAGTCATACATTGATCCGGAAACTAACGAGGAGCCACTCATCTCATTAAAAGGTTCATTCTCAAGAACTGTTCTCTTCATATGTAATGACCATTTTCCCAAACCAATAAGAAAATGTATTGCTGTGGCTGACTATTAACAAGAAAACAGAATAATAATTCAGAATAAATTTCCCAACACTTAGGCCCTTAACAGAATACTAAATGTTTTAAATAGATAACATTTCTTTTTACAGATAAATTTTAGGTACCAAGAAGTATAATAGGGTGATCAAATGATTTTCTTAGTAATGCAAACTTCAACCTCTGTGATCCTGAGATGTGAAGAAATAGATAATGCCCAGTGACTACAACTGATCACTTAAAAAGGGTGACAGCAGATGGTCCTGTAGAGATGGACTTGGAGAAAAACACAGAACAAAGCTCAAAATCATAAATAAGCCCAGCATGCTAGTCTGATAGAGATTGGAGGAACTATAAGATTAGACAGAGATTCATGAACCTTCAAGCCTGAAACAAAATTCACCATTGTGGCTCAACTTTCAGCCAAAGAGCAGACAGGCCTATAAGCTGGGCACTAACACCAGGGAGGTGCTTACTTCTTAGAACAATCACCCTCAACGATCAAAAGGGGAGCATTTTCTGAGACTAAGCTCAGAAGGTAGGACGTGTAAGGATAAAAAGATAAATGGAGACAAAAGCCACAGAGAAGAGGGAAGAGTTTACCATGAGGGATTATAATGAACGTCATAAAGCAAAATGTGTATGAATAGTTGAATGGAAAACCAAATTCATTCTGAAAATAGTTACTCACTTCACACACACACACACACACAAAAAAAAAAAAGCTGGTGGCCTAGTGGTGAGGCGTTGGACTGCCAACCCAAAGACACGCAGTTCAAATGCACCAGCTCCTCCTTGGGAGATAATGGGCAGTCTCCTCCCATGCAATTTACAGCCTCTGAAAATCCACTAGATGGTCAGCTAGGGTCAGTTACAACTCAACAACAACAATGTAAATTGCATCCTTGCACCCCCTCTATGCACACCTTTTTAGGACACATACAGTAACTTACACAGGTCCCTAGACCTGGTAGTACAATGGTTAAGCACACTTCTGCTAATGGAAAGATTGAGGGTTCAAGATCACCCTGCAGCTTGTTGGAATAAAGACCCAGTCATCTACTCATATAATGATTATAGCCCAGAAAGCCCACAGGGCAGTTCTACTTTGCCACATGGGGTCAGTATGAGTCAGAATTTACTAAATAGCACCCAGCAGCAGTGGTCTGTGTAGGGCTCGAACGCCATCTGGATGAACAGGCCAGTCTCTCAGGGAGCTGACCACCAGGGCATGCCATTCTAGCTCAACGATCCCACCAGTCATTCATCTAATAACTTCCAGAGCAACCCCCATGTGCTATTCTAAGCACTGAGGATACAGTACTGAACAGAACATGAACTGAACAAGCAAAAATCCTCTCCTGGAATTTATTTGCTAGTTGAGAGAATGTTAAGTACACAGACGAACAAAACCTTTGATCTGCGGGATGTGAAAACTATCACAGAGAAAATGAGACGAGGGAAGGGAACTGGGGAATTCAGGTCGGAGCTGCAGTTAGGAAGACATCTGGGCAGACAGCAGCAGAATACGAACAGATCTTTTCTGTGAATATGCTACTGGTACCTTTTAAAGTATCTTCTTCACTATGGTTATGTCATAAGGGGAAAAGTCTGTCAAAACTTAGAAAAGTCTTCCTAGTTGAGGTTTAAAGTTGTGGGCCACAGGGTTCAATGATTTGCCAAGGTCTCACAACTATTTGAACTTAGAGCCAGTACTACCTCAGGACAGAGCCAGTTCTACCTCAGGACAGAGCAACCAATCAGCGATCTCACTTAATAAAAATGATCTGCGCTTCTAAACACACAGGGACTGATGTGTAGGCTTGAGTGGAGCAGGACACCAGCCTGGAAGACGCCCCCCCTCAGCACGTTAAAGTCACCACGGTGGCCTCAGGCCCTGCTGACCTTCAACCACTGCAGCACCTACTACCAAAGGCTGGCCAGCCTGCGCCTCCAGCAACAAGCAAGCAAGCCTCCCTGTGAATCCACTCCATGGACTGCTTTTCCTCTGTGGAAGGGAAGTCTCCGCCCCTGTCCCCACAACCACCCTGAAATGTGACTACCTTTTCCATGTTTCTTCTTTGCGTTTCTTTGGAAATCTGAACTTTGCTTGATCAAACGACACTGACGGCCAAAAAGCTTTGATAACCACGTGGAAACTTCTTCTCCACAGTCGTAAGTATTTACTCTGGAAAAAAAGAGCAAGAGGGGAAAGTAGAGGGGGGAAAGTTTGGAACATTATTGCTTCTTAAAACAACAATTAAAACTGCAAAAAAAGTTAAATTTTAAAATAAAATCACATTGTGCCCATCCTCTGGAAGAGGTACGGTAAAGCACAGACTTCTAAGTCACGGGAAGACATATGGCTGGCTGTGACACTTTTCTGACCAGATACCAATCTTTTAGAAGAAGCCCTGGTGGGGCAACTGTTTAGCGTGTAGTTAGTGGCTGCCAAGAAAAAGGCTGGTAGTTTGAAACCAACCACTCAGTGGCTCCTCAGGAGAAAGACTTTGCAATCTGCTCCCATAAGATTATAGCCAAGAAAACCTCACAGGGTAGTTTTACTCTGCCACATGGGGTCACTCTCAAACCCACTGGTTCTCTAGTCAGTACTGACTCATAGCTGAGCCTTTAGCAAGTTTCTTCTGGCGGCTGTAAATGGCATGGGTGAAGATTGTCTATCTTTCTCCTGAAGAAATTCAGGTGAATTTGCCACCATAGAGCTACCAACTTTGGGTTAACAGGGCAACCACATCACCCCTTATAACAATAAGAAGTTCCTCTTGCTTTTGTTATTGCCACTGAAGATCACAAAGCTTGGAATCTGAAAGCTTATACAGCAGTCTGGTTTTTTTTTTCTCTACGAAACCTTTCAACACTTTAAACCCAGGTATAATATTTTCTTTCACTGCCAGGCCATAAGGCCTAACAGTTTTGGTTTATAAAAAGAACACTGTGCCTATACATTACAGGTATAAGCTCGTTTCTTGAACTAGTTGGTTGGTTTTTTTTCATTCTGTAATATGCTAGAATTTTTTTTTTTTAAGACACGTCATCAGAATTAATAATACATGGGAGACTCTGGTGGTGTAATCCATAAGGGGTTGCACTACTGACCTAGAATTGATAATGCAAAATGACTGCTAATCTACCCTGGGATTATAACATAGATATTTTTGAAAACCTATCATTTCTTTCCTTTTTGCTGGGGCGAAAAAATGGCTGCTATCCTGTTCTGGAAAGAGAAGGAAAACGTAAACCCTCGGACTGTAGCACACTCTCCCCCATGCTTGAGTGACTGCCAAAGCCCATTCTCACGTTACTGAACTTTCAGTGGTCCTGTGAACAAATAAACCTACCCTCCACCTGTGGGGAAGCTTCATTAGCCAGAAAAAGGCACTCCACACGGATGGAGCTAAGGGAACCGTAAACGAGTCTGCAGACCTCCTTTGGAGTCCATATGTCTCTCTATATGAAAATTTGCTACCTGTAGCAACATGCAAAACTGCTGAACAAAACCTCATCACCCTAAGTGAAAACGTAGGGTGCTCTGGTGGTGCGGGGCATAGGGAGTGATGCTGGTAGCCCAAAGGCCGAGCCGCTCTGACAGTTCTAGCCCACTAGTGGCTGTGGGGGAGAAAGACAGGCAATCTCTTATGCCCTTTATAGCCTTGGAAAACCAATGAAAGGTCGACTGTCAGTTGGTTCTGATTCAGAGGCAGTAAGTTTGAGGTTTTGGGGGTGAAAATGTTCTATCACAAACACTTATGTTGGCACAAGTACTGGCAATCTGATGTGATATGTGCTCGGTCTCTAGGTTGTCCAAGGTTTTCTCTTTTGACAATGCTATCTTACCACTTTTTATCACTTAGTTGAGTGAAAATATTTTCCTTTTGTTTTTCTGACAGGATCCTGCCTTACACAGGTACCTGGGTTTTGCTGTGTATTCAGACTCATTTTCTACATTTAAAAAAATTTAGCAGATGATTTCGCATCAGCAACCTAAACTGAGTTATAATCCACAAGTATATGAAATATGCTTCTGGGTTATCACCGGGAAGTTATCACTCAGAACGAAGAGGGACACCTTTATGCCCGTATTTTCCTCAGCCTCCACCCACAATCCATCAGCTTGTCCCAGTGATTCTGTTTCCAGAAGATCAATCCCACCCTGCATTATTTTTCCTGTGACCCGGATCCATGCATCCGTCTTGTTCCACCTGTGTTACAAACACAAGAGCTTAGCTGCATAATTATTAACTTGCACAATTACCTTTCCCACAATCCTAGACCCACCAGCCATTCTTTCAAACAATGAGTCAGATTTCTTCCTCATCATCTCTCCTGCAGCGACCTCATTAAAGCTGCCCATTATGACGTGCTCTGGTGGCTTAGTGGCAAGAAGTTGTACTGCAATCTCAGAGGTGAGTGGTTCAAATCCACCAGAGGCTCTGCTAGAGAAGGAAGGACAATCTCCTCCTGTACCAGTCAGATCCGATTTGATGGTACACACACATAAAAATAATAATTAAAAAAATTTTAAAAGTCACCCACTATGTCTCCACTGGGTTGCACCAGTGGTCTCTGAATGTTCTCCCTGCTTCTCCTCACCCTCCCACATGACACTGTCCACCCAGCACTGCTTCAGGTTCTACAGGGAGCAGTAAAGATAGAATCCTACTCTCAAAATGGACATTTAGTTGGAGGGACTGAAAATCAAATGTAGAGCAATACTGTTTCGTTGCGCTGTCGAGTCAGAACTGACTCATAACTAAACCTCCAGCAGGTTTTCAGAGGTAGTACATTGCATGGGAGGAGACTGTCCATCTTTCTCCTGCAGAGCAGCTGGTAGATTCGAACTGCCTACCTTTGGGTTGGTAGTGCAACTCCTTACCACTAAACAAGCTAAATCCTCATATAGCAGTAAGTGAGAATAGATGCAAAGGAGATCGATAGAGTAGGACACACACACAGGTAGGAGCTGATGTCTGTGGATAGTCAGGTGTCTCTCCTGACGAGCAGGTTTTGGAGCAGAGACCCTGACAGGGTTATAGGAAGGAGCCCTGCAGAGTTACAAGTCTGGGAAGGAGCATTTAAGTGGAGGGAAAGACCTGGAGTGGGATGTGCATGTTAAGGCCGAAGAATATCAAGAAGCCAGTGCAGTGAGGGTAGAGAGAACAGGGAGGGGAAAGGCAGGAGATTGGAGGCAGCCAGGACAGCCCATGCAGCACACTGCCTTCCTCACTGCTCTGTGTTACCTACAAGTGGATCTGAGAGCCTCACCTGCTTCAGAGCCTCACCTGTCAGAACAGACCTTGCTTTGGCAAATGTGAGCCCGTCCACTGTTGTCCTCCAGAGGCACCTCTATACGCTCCATCCCTGATGGATAAAAATTAGAGATGAATTCACCATCGTGCACAAAAAAAGAACAGCTGTGTAAACAAAAGCCTTATTCTGTGTTTGGCTGAATGTTAAAGACATTAGCATTTAGTTGAATCAAACAAGTAGCTGAGTCCTGGGAATCCTTTTATAGAGCGAGATTCCCTTCATCACTATCAGTTCCAACAGGATGCACATCGGGCAGCTTTCCCCTGGAAGATCCTGAGCTGTGGCAGGTGCATCCCCGGTCCCCAGGCTGCTCTGTACCTTCCTTTGAAGCCATTCTCTGCTTCTCAATGGCTCCACATCCTGAAGTCATCATTCTCTAAGCTTCCTTAAACTCTTCAGAAATAGGTAAGCAGACATGATGGATCATTCTATAAAACTGTATTTTAAAAGCAAAAAACCATAGTGGCGGTCTTCAGAAGCCTCTGCTAGTGAGAAATGGGATTCCTTTGTCAAACATCATAATTGCATATTGGGAAAACTAGCAAATTATTATTGCCAGTGAAATGGGGAGCGGGGTGTGTGTGTGTGTGTGTGTGTGTGTGTTGCATCAAACCTATAATGAAGTTTACAGCACACAAATAACAGCTTTAGAACTATTCCCAAAATTAATATTCATGTACACATTACCCACTGAAAGCAGTATGCATTATTTAAATAAAAGCAAAATATGTAGAAGAAACTAAAGGAGTAAAAAAAATTAAAAAATCTATGGTAAAATATAGGGAGCTCTGGTGGCCTAGTGGAAAGAAACTACGCTGCAATTCTGAAGGCATGTGGTTCGAGGCTACCAGCTGCTCTGCAGGTGAAACATGGGCAGTCCCCTCCTGGGTGATTAACTGCCTCTGAAAACCGCTGAAGGGTCAGCTATGGGTCGGTTCCGACTCTATAGTACACCACAGTAAGCAACCACACATGGTAAAAGGTAGACCTCCTGAGACATCCAGCTACACACTGTACTTCTTTGCATCCCCCTTGAGTTATTTTTCAATATATGGGAAGGCAGGAAGCTGAAGCAACTGAGCCGACTGTCTGGAGGACCCAGCTCTAGAAACAGAAGCAAGGCCTCCCCGAGTACAGCCCTGTACCCTTCAGTTCCCTCGGCATTGTCTCCGGCCGCACTGCTGACCAGCATCGCCCAGCCTGGCACTCAGGCAAGCTCATGCCACACACGGCTGCATCTCTGTTCATTCTGGTGCTGCTTCATGGCACACATCGTACAGTCTAGCAAACGACATTCTTCCTGCCCATGAGGCCTTTCACCTAACACACTCCTCAAAACCCAAGCTCACTGCCACTGAGTGAATTCTGACTCACAGGAATCCACCACTGCATTTCTGAGGCCATCTTAATGGTGGAGGCTGCCAGTCTTTCTCCTGCAGAAGTGCAGGTGGGTTCAAACCACTAGAGGCAACAGCCTTTTGATTAGCAATGTAACACGCTATGGACTATGCCACCAGAGACCTTTTTCACTTCAGGGGGACAAGAAAACAACAAGTATTCCCTGAGTGCCCTTTCTCTGCTTGTCTGCGTCTAACACAGCCACAGCCAACTCTACCCTCTTGTCCCTATTTGAGGAAGACCAAGGGAGGCACTTTCTCATTCAGAATTTCCAGAAGTTTGGAGAATAAATATGCTACGTTGAATGACTATAGATGCTGCTATGTATCAAAAGAGTGTTTCTGAGGGACTGATACAATCCCAGATATGTGCCCACAAGAGACAGAAGTAACATGCGCTTACAATATTGGCTACAAAGGAGAAACTACAGCAGTAGAAGCAGCGTGGGGACAAAAACCAGTGGTGCACATGCTCCCTTGGAAGCCGGTGAGGAGACCTGTCACTTACTGTTAAAAGATCTAACAACTTTTTTAATCCTTACCCAAAGAAAGGTACAAGGTCTTTGAACTCGGTGAAATGTAGGACATTCTTTGGGACGGTGGCAGCAGCAATGCCTGAACTGGAGAATTTATGTGAGACTTTGGTGGGGTGTGGGGAGAAACCAATACTGGCAGGACTGAGAACATGGGGGCACTTAGAGCCATAAGGCTCAAGGCTGAGATGTCTGTGTTCACATTTTGGGAGTTACCCTGATTCCACTGTTAATCGGAACCATAACCTTTTGACTTCCCCTACCTCCAACCCCAAAATAAGGTCTTCGGTGCTCAGTTAATTTATAAAGATAATTGACAGGTTTCTCATCAGGCATGGCAAAGAGAGACTTTGAAACTTGCCCCTAGGGTGTTGAGAAGCTAACGTGAAAGGAAGAACTGATGAAGTAAAAAGCTGAACAGAAGATTTCAAAAGAAGACTGAAGAAGACAAAGTAAGTATCATATGCAAGTAAAATAAGCAAAGACCTGGAGTTAGAAAACCAAAAAGAACGAACACTCTCATATTCTGCTGGTGGGAAAGTAAAATGATGCAACCACCCAGAAAACAGTTTGAGATTTTCTTTGCAAATTGGAAATAGAAATACCATTTGGTCCAGCAATCTCACTACTAGGTATATATCCTGAAGACACAAAAGCTCCTGCAGGAAGTGACATGCTCTAAAATTGATTGTGGTGATGGGTACACAATTTTGTGAATATTGCTAGAAATATATTATTCCATCAGTCACCTCCTATGAGATGTAAAGCCCTGAAAAGCCAGCTGGAGGTCAGTTGTGAGGTGGTTCTGACTCAGTGACAATAGATTTGAGTTTTTATTGAACTGCATATTTTCAACAAATAAGCTTAATTATATGTTAATTGAATCTCAATAAAGCTGGAAAAAATCAAAAGAGAACTAGAGTAGTTCTGTTAGTATCAGGAAAAAATTTGTATACCCCTGAACAAAAAAAGTGACCATTTATAAAGATGGGCATTACTTAACATATAATGAGGTACATTTACCACCAAATATACTACTAACAAATTAAGCAAAAACTAGCAGAACTATTAGTTCAAAAACAAATAAACCAGTGGAGCAAAATAGAAAGGCTAGAGCAAAAACACAGGAATATGTAGAAATGTTGCATAGTGATATATCAAAAAAGTACAACTATAAATGGGAGAGAGGAGTAATATATGTATTTTTTACAGTTTACTATATCTATTACTCTATATTTCTATTAGTACACACACACACACACACACGAGTGTGGGGGCGGGGGGGGGGGGGAGGTGAGACCAGGCAGAGGGACACCAGGAGTTCAGTCATATCTGCTGTAGTTTTTGTTTCGTTGGAAAAAAAGAAAAAAAAATTTAAGTAAGAACAACCATTAATTCTTAAACTGTGAAGTGTTAATGTTGTTAATCTGCATACCCATGAAATAGGGTCCCAGTACTGAAGTAATTAAAAAGCATGGCTGCTAAGCCCAGGTTTGGCAGTTCAAACCCACCAATGGCCCCACTGGAGAAAAATGGAGCAATTTGATTTTGCAAAGATATATACAGACGTGATGACTATGGAAGGTAGTCTAGCCCTTTTTTAGAAAGTTGACAACAAGGGAGCTCTGGTGGCCTAGTGGCAAGAAGCTGCACTGCAATCCCAGAGGTACATGGCTTAAATCTACCAGGTGCTATGCTGGAGAAGGAGGGGCAAAGTCCTCCTGTACCAGTCAGATCTGATTTGACGGTGCACACACACACACACACAAAATAACAAAATACAAAAAAAATTAGAAAAAAAAAGAAAGTTGACAACTGAAATACCATTTGATACTGTGATTCCACAACTAATAAGTAGGTCTACGACACAAACCAACCTTCGCACACTCATGTTTACTGAAGTATTACTTATAGCATAAAAAAGTTGGAAATAATATTTATATAGGAAACTGTTGGAAACAACCCAAGTGTCCATCAATGGACAAACAGCTAAAGAAACTGTGTTGTATCGACACAGGAGAGTATTATGCATCTCTAAATACTATCAAAGATTCAGGAAACATTGCACAACATGGATGGATCCAGACAAAATTATGCTGAGTAGCACAGTAGTTTAAAAGGACAATTAGGGTGTAAGACCATTATTATAAAAAGCTAAGGAAAGGTTTACACAGAGAAAGAAACAGTCTTTTATTTTTAACAGGAATGGGGAGGAAGAGACAGTGAGGTAAAAATTAATAGATGAGTTGGGTAAAGGGAAAAACATCACATAATAAAAGGATTGATTAGATACTGTAACCTATTAAATATATTAATCAATGGTAATTGGTGTTGTAAAACAAGATGTCTACAGATGATTATATGGAAAAGCAATTTGATTTCTATAAACCTTCATTCAAATAAAAAATTATTCAACTAAATATGTTAAAAAGAAGATTAACAAATACGGCATGGTGCCACTGTTGTAAAGCAGGACTGACCTTGGGGTCGGAGAGAGACTGAGAAAGATGGGTTCAATAATGTATACTGCATTGAAACAGATGAGGGAGAAAACTGTTTAAAAGAGATATGTGATTAGGTATTTTTATCATGACAGGAGTCCAGAGTGAAGGCTACATGGTGGAGTGGACCCTGGGAGAGGGTTGGTAAAACAATGAAAGAATTTTTCTTTTACTTTTCCAAGAGGGTAGTGTACTAAGGGGAGGGTTGGGAGGGGAGAAAAGTGCAACAATGAATGAATGGAAATCCAAAGTCTCTGTAAACTTTTACTGAAATTAATAATAAATTTAAATTTAAAAAAGAAATATATAATAAAAGATTCTAGGAAATTAAAAAAAAAGATTAACAACCTTGAAAACTCTATTGTTGTTACATACTTAGGAGATGAAACTGGCCCATTGCTGACCCTCTGGCAGATTTTCAGAGGCAGTTTATTATACGGGAGGAGATTATCCATCCTTCTCCTGAGGAGCAGCTGGTGGCCTCAAACCATGTGCCTTCAGGATTGAAGCACGGTTTCTTGCCACTAGGCCAACAGAGCTCCCCTTGAAAATCCTATGAAAAAGTTTTACTTCATCCTATCAGGTTTCCATGAGTAGGAAGAGACTTGCTAACACAGGGCTTTACTTAAATCTGTTAAACACTATAGTTACTATAGATACTTGTGGCTTTTGAAATGGAAATGCAGTTTTAAATTGTGTTCAGGTGTCCCACTGGCCACATTTCAAATGTTTAGTGACTGGGAGCCGCAAATTTTGATAGTGCAGCTATAGAATATCTCCGTCAATACAAAAAATTTTACTAGACAAATCTGGCCTATGTATTTTTTTTCTTTTTTAAAATAGTGTGTGTGTGTGTGTGTGTGTGTGTGTACTGTCAAACCGGATCTGACTGGTACAGGAGGAGATTGTCCCTCCTTCTTCAGCAGAGCATCTGGTGGATTCGAACCACGCACCTCTGGGATTGCAGTGCAGCTTCTCGCCACTAGGCCATCGAAGCTCACCTGTTCTATGTATTTTTATGTTTTATGTCAAACATTTTATAATAAATGTCAATAAGGAAGAGTTAAAGCTTGCACTATATATTATGATAAAGGAAGAACATAAAAAGGAATGTAAGTGAAAAGATTATATCATTCCAAAAGTTACACTTCTTTACTTTCTCACTACTCTGTCATATCTTCTTCTTCTCCCAAAGACATCACAAAACACAGGGAAACAAACTTTCTTGTGTCTTTCCTAGATTCTATCTCATTCTTTGGGATTCTTTTTTTCTTTTTCTTTTTTTATTATTAATTTTAATAGACATTTACAGAGGTTTTGGATTTCCATTCATTCATTGCCACACTTTTCTCCCTGCCCACCCCTCCCCACAAGCTTGCTCCCCCCTCCAAAGAGAAAAAGAAAAAAAAATTCCTTCATTAGTATACAATTCCCACGTCCCTTCCCCCCCACCCCCCACCCTGATTACACTTCTCTATGCAACCTTAATTCTAGATTCCTGTGCTAACCATAATACTCAATCATGTATCACTTCTAATCTATTCTTTCCCTCATCTGTTTCAATACAATATACATAATTTATCCAGTTTTTTCTGTCATACCCCTATCCTGATGTCAGACCCATTCTACAACGGTGGCACCACGTAGTATTTGTCCCTTTGTGACTGAAACATTTCACTCAGCATAATGTCCTCCAGGGTCACCCACTTTGAATAATATTGCATGAGTTCCCTGTTTTTCAATGTGGCATAGTATACCATTGTGCGAATATACCACAGCTTCTCTATCCATTCGTTTGTTGATGGGCCCTTCGGTTGCTTCCAACTCTTTGCTATTGTAAACAAAGCTGTGATAAACATGGGTGTGCATACTTTGGGATTCTTTTAATACAGGGTAGAGGGAAAGGCATTATTTTCTTTTTTGTGTAGCTATTAAAGCTGCTCAGCAGCTGTATGGGAAAAAATTATCAAAACATCACCCACTCATGACAGCTTCTGTGTGAATATGAACCCAGTTTTCAGACCTTTGGCTTGGAGGACCATGATCCTTTGCTGCAGGTCAATGGTAGGCCGGATCAGGCAGAGTCGGGGCTCCTGTTTCTGACTCAGGCAAATCCCATTGTGGTTCACAACCATCCAGTTCCGGTCATACAGCAGCCCTTGGTTTCCTATAGGCCACTTGGTGACCTAAACAAAAAGGTGGATACATTTTAGGCCAAGGTTCCCCAACAATGACCTTAACCTTACTGCACAATGATTGTACCAAGAGGGACTTCCTGAATTAAACACAGATGACTGCCTGAAGGATGAAGGGGAGAAAATGCGTAGAAAGTGAAACATAGAGGGCAATGGGAAAGAGAGGACCTGGGAACTGGATTATCTTCCCTTCCACCTCCATATTCACTATGGTCCTTTCTCCTATCTCTTAATTAGGTAATGCATATGCATGTGTAGCATTGCAAGAGTGTATAAAGAAAAGTCAGGCTCCATCCTTCCTGTTCCCGGTTCCCACCCTTCCTGCTTCTTGTATGCCCTTCATGATATGGGTGCCTAGATAGACATATCTTGATACTAAAGGCATATTTCTTGCACAAATAGTAGTTGCTTTGATTTGAGCTGGGTAGCTAAAAATAGGACTTCTAAATCCTGTGCTTATAGATACAATAACTCCATTTGGGAATAGAGATTTCTTTGTTATGTTAATGAGGCCATATCAGGTGTGCATGAAGGCAATCTGCCATGAGGTACAATATGATCAAATGAGGCACTAAGTAGCTAGTACAATTATGGGGAGATAAATGCTGCCAAGAGATGGAGGAACAGAAGCTAAAAAGAGATAAGGCTCTTCTCCTAAAACTAACAGAGAAAGGCTTCCCCTAAAGCTAGAGAGTCAGTCTCTTGAATGATTTGCTCAGCATTCACAGTGAATAGATAAGGAGAAAGAATACAATTCTGACACATATCTCCCTGATTTTAAACCATACAGTGTTTTCTTTTTCTGTACAAAAAAATTGCTGTTGGTCGATGTACCAGTTCCTTGTAAGCACAATTAAGTGTTCAGGGATTCTCATTCTTCTAAATGTTATCCATAATTTATTATTATTCACTCTGTCAAATGCCTTTACAAAGTCAATAAAACACAAGTAAACATATTTCTGATAGTTTGTGCATTCAGTCAAGATTTATCTGACAACAGCAATGATAAACTTTCTTTTAAATCCAGCTTGAATTTCTGGAAGTTTTCTTTTTTGTTTCTTTTTTTTTTTAGTTTTCTGATTTTTATTATATGGCTCTAGCTGTTGGGTTTTTTCCCCTCACTTTTTAAAAAATTTTTCTATCAGTTTGCTTACAAAGGTTGTATACATTGTGTTTCACACTATTCTTCATTCATACTGTGTTTTATACAATCACTCCAATGTATTATATATTTCATTAAATTAATCACCATCGGACCTTGCCCATCATTACCTTGTCTCTTCAGGTTCCTGCCAGATCTTTCCCATTTCCTTTACCCCCTCCCTCCACCCACTGAACTGTGCAACCCTGTGGTTTCACCCCTACCCATCCTCACCCTTCCAATTCCACCCCTTCCCCCATTAAGTCCCCACACATGTTTTACTAGTTATCCTCCTATTTTTACAATAATGGCCTTATGCAGTATCTCTTCTAATATTCCTTTTGGTCTTTTCTTTCTTTCCTATCTTTTTAATGACCTTTTGCTTTCATCACAGATGATGTTCTTGATGTCATCCCACAACTCATGAAATTGTTGGTCTTTAGTGATCAACACATCAAAGCTACTCCTGAGATGGCTCTTCAGTTTAGGGATAAACTCAAGGTTGTGTTTTGGCTCTCATAGACTTGATTTCATTTTCTTCAGCTTCAAAATTTGAGCTTTCATATTGATGATTTATTTGTCCCACAGTCAGCCCCTGGTCTAGGTCTCACTACTTAGACTGTGAACTTCTCTATAGTCTCCACAGAGGTAGCCCACTTTATTCCTGATTGAAGGTCAATATCAAGAAAACAGAGACCGTCACCCCTGGGCCAATTTGCAACACCATGATAGATGGAGAAGATACTGAGATTGTTAACAATTTCAGCTTGCTCAGGTCCACAATCAATACTTCTGGCACCAGTAGTAAGAAAATCAAAAGACAAACTGCATTAGGAAAATCTGCTGTCATGGATCTTACCAGCGTGCTAAAGAGAGATGATGTCAGTCCAGAGACTAAGGTGCACCTGATCCAGGCCATGGTCTTTACAATTACTTGTTATGTATCAGAATGCTGGACAATGACCAAAGATGACAGAAGAATAATTGTCTTTGAGCTGTGGAACTGGATAAGAGTATAGAACAAACCATGGACTGCCAAGAGATCAAACAGGTCTTTCCTGGAGAGGATAAAACCAAGTTGTTCCTTGGAGGCAAGGATTTTGAAGCTCTAGCTCACATATTTTGGGCATGTTGCCAGGAGGGACCAGTCCTTGAAGAAGGACATTATGCTTGAAAGGGTAGAGGGACAGTGCAAGAGAGGAAGACCTTGGATGAGACAGACAGACACAGTAACTGGGGTGATGAGGGTAGGTGTGTCAGAGGTAGTGAGAGTGCTTCCGAATAGAGCAGGTTTCAGAGTCACTGTGCATAAGGTCACTAAAAGTCATAGTCAACTCACTTGCACATAACAACAACATTAGGTCAAGTCCATGTATATAATCACTGTTTATGGTTTTTTAAAAGGTATTTGCCAGGAATAAATCATTGGTTGTACAAATTTTATCATGATGCAATTGTAAAATGAAAGAATCTTGGGCCTCATTTCTGACACCAAGGCCTTATTTTCCAAATATCAATCCTTCTTGTTTGTTTCCAACTTTTGCATCTGATCACTAATAATTATTAATGCATCTTGATTGCATAGTAAACCAATTTCAGACTGAAGATGTAAAAATCCTCAATTTCTTCATCGTTAGCTTTAATGGATGGTGTGTATATTTTTATGATAGTAATATTAACAGGTCTTTATTTTATATATTACATATATGGATATTATCTATCACTGGTAACACTGCATTTCAGGTCAGAACTTGAAATTCTCATTTTAATAATGAATGTGACACATTCTTCTTCAATTTGTCATTCCCAGCATAGTAGTCCATGTGATTATCTGACAAAAAATGGCTAATGTCAGTCCCTTCTAGCCCACTAATGCCTAGGATGTCAATGTGTATGCATTGCATTTCCTTTTTTATTAATTTTAATGAAAGTTTGCAGAGACTTTGGATTTCCATTCATTCACTGTTGCACTTTGCATTTCATTTTTAACACCTTCAAATTTTCCTTCAATTACATACTTCCTGTATTCCATGTTCCAGTTACTAATGGATATCCATGGCTGTTTCTTCTCGTTTGAGTTCTGTCATACCAGCAAATTAAGGTCCATCATTGGATGAAAGCTTTATTCCATCCAAGTCATTAAATAGTAGACTCGACTCTACACTGAAGAGACAGCCCGCTCTTCCCCAGTTATATTTTGAGAGCTTTCCAATCTGAGAGGCTCATCTTCTGCCTCTATTGCACAATGTTCCACTGTTATGCACAGCATTTTCAAGGGCCATTATTTCAGAAGTAGATAGTCTGTCCTGCTTCTTAATCTGTCATCATCTGGAAGTTCTATTGAAACCAGTCCACCAGGAGTAATTCTAATGGTATTTGAAATACTGACAGCACACCTTTCAATATCATAGCAAGAGGCAAGCTACTCTAGTACAGCAAATTGACCGACCAGTGGTGGATTATTTCTACAGGAAATTGTTATTATAGAAACTATAATTATTTCAGTAGGAAATTATCTTCTGGATTTCAAAGAACTTCTTAGAGCACAATCTATTACTGGTAAATAAATCTCCATGGATCATTCACCTTTCTGCACGTCTGATGAGCAGATATATGAATGGCCTTTTTGGTCCAGACCATCTTTTTAAGACTATCTGTACAGTGAATAGATATCATGAAACTTAGGCTGCTTGTTTTGCCAGGGTAACTAGTTCTTTTTTTCTATGATCCAAGACACTCAAATCCTTTGCCAGCATCCATGTAACTGTAACAGGTTATCTTGTTAGCTTGAAAGTAGGGTAAAATCTCAAACCCCTTCACAAATCTTCATACCTATTTATTGGGATGTGCCTACAGTAGTCTACTCTTTCAATTGTTACTTAATAATTTAATTCACTGGTTTCCTCCTTCCTTTTTCCTGTTTGGGTTAAGCTTTTAGAAAACACATATGTACTGGATGAAAGGAGAAACTGGCATGCCTGGGGCAAACCTTGAGCTGATGAAGCTGGGATTTTGGTAACAATGGAAAAATTTAATATACACATATTTATTGAGGCTTCTCATAGAGTTAAAAATATAGGAAGGGAAATAACTAGAATAAACTCTGAGTGTTGCAAAGAAATTGGAGGTACTGTTGTGAAATCATAGGTATGGATAAACAGATATCTAGAAATCCACAGAGGCACGTATGTGTGCATAATCCCTTAGGTAGGAGATGTTCCAAAACCTTTAGTACACGGTACCTGTTGTTATTGTTGATTGCCGTCGAGTCGAGCATGACTCATAGCGACTCCATGAACAAAAGACTTAATGCCTTTCTATAACTATCATCGTTGCTCCACATTTATGGAGTTTCCGAAGGCATATGGTTTAGGAAGTGGATACCACTCCTGCTTCCAAACACATGGTACATAGCTGGCAGAAAAAAAAATCTACAAATAATGATCAGATCTAGCAAAATAGTCTCTACTGAAAGAAGTGAGATTCCTTGATGAAATGGTCAACTCCAAGACTAAGCAGTAGAAATAATGGGAAACAATAATTTATTAGTGGGAGGTGACAAAGAGCTTAGCCCAGAAGGGAAACTAAAAAAAAGTCCCTGAGGCCAGAGGGTGGAATGGAAAATGGTGTGACAGGAAGAGGGCGGCATAAAAAATGATAGATCAGGCTAGGCCATGGTGTCATAACTGGTGATTTTATTCTAAGGGGAATGAGAAACTATTGGGGAGTGTAGCAAGAAAATGACTTAATCTGACTTCAGTTTCAAAAGATAATCCTGGTCAGCCTTCTTGCAGACAGAACAGTTGAAATCTATAGAGCTGAGCTGAGCAAATCCCGTAAGAGTGATTCAAGAAGTCAGCAGACTTGAGTTCAAATTCTCGCTTCAGAACTTACTAGCCTGTGCTAGGCAAAGAGTTTAATATTCATCACCCTAGATCCCGTATCTCTAATATAGTAACAATTTTGCTATCCACCTCTTACGATTCAAATGAAAGAAAGCAGAGTGCACGAAGCCAGCACTGACATGCAGTGAAAGTGCAAGTTTATAATTATTCAACAGTAACTAAGGTTCATCACTCAGAAACAAGGTCACCAAAGGAGAACATGACTTAAAGTCAGCTCTTATCAGCAAAGTGAAATGAGCAGGGGAGGGGCCCTTCTCATGGTACCCTGACAGGTGATATGTGACTTCAATTCTTAAAATCCTTACTTTTCCTTCTGCATATTTTCTTTCACTTTATTTATTTTTTTTTTAAAAAAAAGAAGTTCCAGAGGAAACCAAAGGGAAGCAATTTCTGTGTTACAGTGAGAATCCTTACCTCAAACGCAGCACAGGATTTGACTGGGTAGAGGTAGAGGTTGGTGACAAGATGTGGTCCAAGGCCCCCATTCGGGATACCCTCGGCTTTCTCTGAAGGGGTCTGCAGGCTTCCATCCACCTCACACACAGGTAGACACAGATCCATAGCATTCACGGTGGTGGACAAGTCATCCCAAACTCCAGAGTCTGCGAGAGTATCTTCCTGAGGTGAGGGACTTCGTCCATCTGTGTTAGCAAGAGCGCCCAGCACCTTCTGGTCTACCATCGGAACTGCAGCCTCTCCATTAGGGGTCCGAGGGAGGGACTGGCCATCCGACGAGCCCAGTCGGGTTGCTATGATGAACTTGAGGAAGGCCTGGGCATCCTCAAGTGTAGACATGTATCCAAACGAAATCCTCACAGACCCTGTAGGCTGCCCATCTATGACATCAATATTGTCTCCACAGATGTGACCAGCCTAGAATAAAAGGAAAATCAGTAAATCAGCCAGTGTGGTAAATCCTGCTGTGTGGACCTTCACATGGGATATCAGGCATGAAGTTCACAGAGGGGTCAAAAGACAGAGCAAAGTTTCAGAAGCACAGAGGGCTCAGCCTCATAGACTGCTGCTAAGGAGTGACCTGTGCCCTCTAAAAAGAGATGTTAAGATCCTAATCCTTGCATATGTAGAGTTAATCTCATTTGGGAATAAGGTTTTCTTTGCCGGCTAATGATGCCATTCTATTGTAGGGTATGTTCCAAACGAAATTACTTTTTTCCTTTTTTTTTCCTTTAACCATACATTTTGCATTCACTGCTAGAAATCAAAGTAATCGGATTTGACAGTTTTCGCAAATCAAATCCCCACATAACTTTATAAATCCTGCTACTACTGGTTCGAGTTTTCATTATGAACCTGTTTGGGAAATAAATGGAGTTTCTAATTTTTCAGCCTTTAAGTTGTAACATAAACCTAATAATTTTTGAAACATAAAAGAGAAGATTAGACAGAGAGAGGAAATAAAATGAGGGGATCAATGTCATATGACGATCACCAAGGAGCAAAGAATGCTGGGACTAAAGAGCTGAGATTAGGCCTTCTCGCCACAGCAAATGGACAGCGGGCCTTCCCCTAGAGCCAGGGCTTCAGACTTCTAGCCTTCTAGACTAGGAAAAACTAAAATTCTGGTTTTTAAAAATATTTGTGGAGAAAAGTGAACTGGGGGGAAGGGGTGGGCAGGGAGGAAAGTCTGCAACAATGAATGAAAGGAAGTCCAAAGTCTGCAAACTTTCATTAAAATTAAAAAACAAAACAAAACACACCAAAGCATTTGTGGTGTTTCTGTTTCAGCAGCACTAAGACGTCACGACAAAATACCTCCTGACCGCTCCCTTCCACCTCTCTCAGAGCATCCGGCCTTCTATACTGAGGGGAAAAAACTCCCATGACTGCCCTTTGACAACAGGGCACAGTGGCGCCATTACCTCCACGTAGGATCGGCCTGAGACCATGACAAAGGGTCAAAGGCTCCTGCTGGAGTGAGAGGAGAAAGACAGAAAGAAGGTCAGCCTCCAAGCTCTGTTGCCTGCTGTTAATCTCTGGTCAGTGATTGCACTGACATCTCCCCAAATGCTTCGTCCATGACAGTCAATCAAAAGGACAGGCCTTGTATTCAGTGATTTTATTCTAAATGCCACGGGAATAGTAAAGAGTTTTAGCAAGAAAATTCTTTTCTCTTATTTTATTTAGGAAGCGCCCTTACAGACAGAACAGCCCAGTTCTGTAGAGAGAACGGAGCTGAGTAAGTCAAATAAAAGCATCAAGGAATCAGTGGACCTGGATCCAAATCCTTATTCTCATTTATTAGCATCCATCAGGCAGGGTTTCCCATCACAACCCCAGATGCCCTCCACAGCGTCAAATGTTATCTCCAGAACTGCATTCATTTCATCTCTGGAGTTTCGGGGTTTTTAACATAAATAAAAAATTAGTTTTAGGCTTAGTTGGGATCCAGTAAAAATAGGAGTTAGTGGCAAGTAAAAGAAAAGTAAGATAAAAGCTATTCAAAACTAATTAAGGATTCATTACTCTTCAAATAATTCTTATAAAACAGCTCAAAGGAAGCTGTAGTGAAAAACCTCAGCCCGGGAGAGAAGGAGTCTGAGAAATGGATGTAGCCGCTGGAACAGCTCCACTCCACACTGACTCCTGGTAACACTAACTCGAGTCAAGGGGTTCCACCCTAGAAGGACTGTTATAGTTGAGAGTCCTCTACACATATCAGCTAGCACTTTCCCATTACTCTCAAAGAAAAAAACAAACCAGAAAGTTCTGTGTACACAATATTTTGAAATGCTTTCTACTTTTGTTGACTCTCGTTTTAGTGGGTTGAATAGAAGCATCCTACAAAAGAGATAACCACATCTTAATCCTCAAAACCTGTGAATGTGACCTGATGTCAAAAAGGAGTCTGTTTCAGATGCAATTAAGATGAGGATGTCGACATGAAGAAATGCTCAAAATTACTGGCAATAAGAGAGATGCAAATCAAAACCACGATGAGATATCATCTTAACCCAGTAGCAAAGGCAAGGAGGCTCTAAATTCAATGGCACTGTGTCCTTATAAGGAATAGAAGACTCACAGAAACAAGGGAGAGAGGCCATGTGAAGACAGAGGCAAAGACTGGTGTTATGGCCACACGCCATGGAGCCGCCAGGGCCAGAAAAGACGGAAGGATTCTTCTCTACGTCCTTCAAAGGACATGCAGCTCGCAGACACCTTGATCTTGGACTTCTGCCTCCAGAGCAGGTAGAGAATAGTTCTGTTGTAAGCCACTCAGTTTGTAGGACTTTGCTACAGTAACCTTAAATCAAGACACTCGTTTTCATACACACACACACACACACACACACACACACACACACACACACAAAGCTAAGAGAAATGCATTTATAGAACCAATATAACCAGGCACAAGTGTGGCTGGAGGCGGCCACCACAGGGCCAGCCAGCGTTTTGACCACATGTTGCAGTTACCAACCTGAAGGTGCTTCTTGACCATCTCGTTGCTTCTCTCCAGAAACCTCTGGCAGGCCCCTGTGTTACAGAAGCAGCCGGTCCTCACCTGGATGTTGTAAAGACTGGCCATTTTATCCACCTGTGAATCGAATAGACTCTGTGTGAGAAATGTCCACTTTCACGCTGAGCCTGAAATAGTTCTAGGTCAGCATTTAGCCTCTGTTTCTCAAAAACAAAATGAATATATGAACCTGTTATTTTGTTCTAAAATGGCATGAGCTGTCAGGGGTTTATTATTTTTAAAAAGTAAGCAAACAAATTCCCAAACCCAGACTCGGTGACCCTCTAAGACAAAGAAGAACTGTGTGTACGGCTTCCAAGGCTGCCAGTCTATGCTGACGTAGGCAGCCTCGTCTCTCTCTCTCACAGACTGGCTGGTGGGTTCAAACCTCCACCCTTTTTGGTGAGTGGTCAAAATCTTTAACTACTGCACCACCAGGAGTCCTTAGGGATTTATTAAATATATTCATGAAATATTACTGTGAAATACACATCTCCCCTCATTTTCATGGAGTTGGAACCAACCCAAAGCTGACCCTCAGTGGTCTTCTGGAGGCTGTAAATCACACGAGAGGGTTTAGAAAGAAAGTCCATCTCTCTCCCATTGAGCCACTGGCAGATTCAAACAGCCAGTGAGAAGCCAACCTTGAGTTAGAAGCACAACTCCCCACGGACTAGGCCTCCAGAGCTCCTCTCACATATACAGACATTGTCATTTTTACAAAAATAACGTGTATCTTTGAACTTTGATAAATGTTGGTAGTTATAGAGAGGCTTCAGGCCTTTTGTTCATAGGGTCGCTATGAGTCGTGCTTGACTCAAAAGCAATCAACAATTTTAACAATTACATTTTTAGTATTCCACAGTCCTCTGCATTATTTTCAGAAACACACATTAAACCAATAATTTTTTGTACTTTGAAGACTTCAGTTTCAGAGTTTTTTTTCTGTCTGGTCAATTTAATCTTTGTCTTGGTGCCTGTTGACTTGGGTGGGTGATTCCCAGCTGCAGGCCCTCCCTGGCCTATCCTTCGTTTCTACAGCACTTCCCCTCTTAGCTCAACTCCTTCCCTCCTCTGCAAGGTGCTTTCTCCAATGCAGGAAGAAATCACCTTTTCCACCCTGTGAACACTATTGTTCTCAGCTCCACAATTCTGACACCAGCAGTCACGAGATCAAAAGACAATTTGTTCAAATTTGTATTTGAATTTTGTAAATAAACTAGTAGAAAAATAAACACACATACACTCGCACACACAAGGCAATGTGCACTGGGGCAGTCTGCTGTCAGGGACCTTTCCAGAGTACTTAGATGCAACAATGTCAGTCTGGAGACTAAGGTGCACCTAATCTGGACCACTGACTTCACAATTATTTACATAAGAGAGCTGGACAGTGACTAGGGATAACAGAAGAAGGATCCTTCAAGGTGTGATGCGGGGAAGAGTACTGAACATGCCATGGACACAGGAGAGGTCTCCTGTCTTAGAGAGTGTGAAACCAAGTTTCTCCTTGCAGACTAGGATTTTGAAGCTCCATCTCACATACATTGGGCACATGGCCAGGAGGGACCGATCCTTGGAGAAGGACATTATGCTCAGAAGGGTGGAGGGACAGAGCAGAAGAGAAATACCCCAGATGAGATAGATTGACACAGTAACTGGAGTAACGGGGGGTAGGTGTGTTGGCGTCAGTGAGACTGGGTCAGGATAGGGTAAGCTATTGTACATAGGTTCATTATGAGTCGCAGGCAATATGATGGCACACAACAACAACAAACAGCCCTCACCAAGGCAGCTAGCCCCATCTCAGAAGATGAATGTGTCTGCATACCCTGGACCAGAGAGGCCACTCAGGAAGACAACATAGGCAGTCACAATGATGCATATTCCACTCCACTATCACCATATGGCTGCACTTGGACTGTCTGAATCTCCCACTTATGCAAATACTGCAGGGTAGGCATGAGAGCTGTGGGCCCAAAGGGGTTATACAGCCCCCACTTGGACAAACTAGGTCCAACTGGCTGCCTGGGGGCTTGATGTGGGGCACAGGCATGCTAGGGGAACTGCCTGTCCTCAGGCCTGGGTGGCCCCATACAGACGCTTCTGCAGGATTCAGCCTGTCTCCAGCCTGATGGAACCGATTCTGATCACCTATGATGGATACCTCTGTCCCCAGGGTTGGCTGCAAACTGCCCCAGAATAAATACACAGTTTCAATGGTCTGTTTTCCAATTTCCAGGCTATCAACAAACTAAATCCATGACCATGGCCTATAACCTTTATTATACAAAGAGGACCAAAAATAGCACTTTCAGACTATTGAGTAAGAAAGAATGTGGCTGCAATTCACTCCTGGAAATGCTACAAGACATGCACGGTGTACCTGTGGATGAGTTATGTCAGAACTCTTTTACATAATTTTGTCATTGTTGCCTGTTATTTACATGGGTGTGATTTTTTGCAAAAAAATATAGAATTATTGTATGTATGCTGCATGCATTTATCCAGGTGAATTATATTCATATGTTTGAGAAAAGTGAAAAATATCAAATTCAGCTTCAGGCTACCAACCTGAGTTGCAAGGATGCATTCTGGTGAGTTGAAAGGGCTTGTTCAGCAGAGCAAGCCCACCCTGACATACCCCTCAAGCAGGGGATCGCTGAGCTCCACTCAGACTCTGAAATACAAAGCATTCCTGGGGCTCACACTGTATTGTGGCTGTATTTTCCAACATTGTCCTAACTGAACTACAGACTGAGATCAGTCCAGAAGTTCTTTGCTCATTACTGCCCTCTGGAGGCTCTGGGAGGTGACATGCATGACTCAAAGCTCGAAATCAAGGCTGGCTCCAAGTGGGTCCTCGGCCTGGTGGCTCTGACTAAACTCTAAGACAAAAAAAGCCATCGAACCACAGAGAGGGGGGGAAAGTAGACCTCACGTGGCAGCATAAAGCTTCACTTCTCTCTCCGGAAAGTATCATGAAGGTGACAATAGCCAGCCATGAGGAACCCAGCATTCCTTGCAGGTCACAAGGTACCATGTGGTCTCCCTGGGCTCCTGGCTGAGTGATGAGGCTTGCATTCCACCCTTGTCAAGGCCATAACTCTGACTTTATATACAACACCCTTGTCCCTCAGAGAGAGAAGGAACCACTGTCTGGGTTGAACTAAGGGGTTGCAAAAAAATCAACCTGTTCTTCCCCTTTAGTTAACAGCTTGGGGACACAGAAACCAGCTTAGAAAGCTCTGGAATTCCCTAGTTCTCAGGTGAGACCTGTCCACAAGAACAGCTCCATCCTTAGAATCAGGTCTTCATTGAAATTGCAGATCCTAGGGAAACTCTCTCATTCCCCAACCCTCAAGTCCTACTAAATTGTTGTTGTTATTGTTGTTAAGTGCTATCAAATTGCCTGCGATTCATAGCAACCCTTTATACAATACTCCTAAACCCTGCTCTATCCTGTGCCAATCCTAGAAGATCCCATATCACCCTGCCCCCAGGATTCACTGTACCATGTAATCTGACTGTGAAATAAGCCATTCTCAACTGGATGGAACAGAACAGTCAGCACTGAATTACGTCGAGGTTATGAGGGTCAGAAATCAGAAAGGGCACAGGGGCTGCCTCCGCTCCATTGTGTCTGGGGTCTCAGCTGGGAAGACTTTGACTCTTAAAAGACACTTGGCAGCCTGGAGCTGGACTCCCAGTAGATTTATTTACTAATAGATGGGTCTTCCCTTCCAAGATGGATGAGTACACATTCAGGATGTCCAGCCATAGCACCTGCTCTCAGGGTAAATGTGGTTATCTACCTGATCATTCCAGAAGCAAGCATTCCAGGGACAGTGTAGACACTGCCTCACCTTTTCTCACCTAGCCCAGAAGGCAGGTGCCCCTTGTGACTTTCTAGTGGTTACAAGTGAGTCACACACCAGCCTTGAATTAAGGGGAAGGGCCAGAAACTCCACTTCTCAATGGAAGGAGTGTCAAGGTCACACTGTAGAAAAGGATACACGTGGGGACACTGTGTTGCATCCATGCTTACCCTTTAGCCTAATGTCCTATTTATACGGCAATCTCCTCTCACTCTCATCCCAAAATACTTTATAACCAACCCACGAAACTCTTCAAACTCATAATATGAAACTAAGCTAAGGTAGAAAGAAGAAGCTGGACTGACAGAATGACTATAGCAATGGGCTCAAGAATCAGAGATGGGAAGGTTGGCTCAGGACAGGCTATGGTTCAGAGCCACTGTTTATAGGGTCACTGTGAACTGTACTTGACTCAACTGTACCTAACAACAACAACAACAAAGATACCATTTCTATTTATCATACAAAGGGAGGTGGGGTTTGGAATTCCAAACAGCATGGAAAGAAATGATGGTAAAATGTGCATGTCTTTGTATGATTCTATAATACAGTGACTGTGCATGAAAGCTGGGGCTACCAAGCCATCAGAGAACCAATCTCTCTCTTCTCACTTGAAATTCACCATTCACCATTACCATTAATTATAGGGAGCTCTGGTAGCCTAGCGGCAAAAAACTGCACTGCAGTCCCAAAGGCATGCGGTTCAAGGCCACTAGCTGCTTGGTGAGAGAAGGATGGGCAATTTCTTCCCATGCAATTAACTGCCTCTGAAAACCCACTGGAGGGTCAGCTCTGGGTCGGTTCTTACCCAATGGTACACAATAACAACAACTGCCAATTAATAGGGAGCTCTTGTGGCCCCAGGTAAGAAGCTGATCTGTGATCTTGAAGACATGCAGTCGGAATCCCCCAGCTGCTCCCCAGGCAGTCTCCTCCTGTGAGAGTAACTGCCTCGGGAAACCCACTGGAGGGTCAGCTATGAGTCGGTTCTGACTCAACCGTGCACAGCAAGAGATTAAAGGGAGTCCCTTGTTGGTACAAACAGTTAATGTGCTTGGCTGCTAACCAAAACGTTGTTGAGTTTTAAGTCAACGTTTTGGTTAGCCACTCAGAGGTGCCCTGAAGGAAAGTGCAGCAATGAATGAATGGAAATCCAAATTCTCTGTAAATGTTCATTAAAATTATGAAAAAAAAAATTTTTTAAAAAGGTACATAACAGCAAAAAAAATAAAATAAATGGAAACTTTTCTTTAAAAAATAAAACTTGTATTAAATTAATTAAAATAATAGAGAAGCAAATACTTAATTATAAATATTAGGTACACATAAACTTAAGTGTATCTGATAACTTTTCATAAAATAGGTACTTTGGGTTTGTGCAAATAAAATTACTCTTACTGCTAAAAAAAAAAAAGTCTAGCAATCTGCTTCCACCAGCGAACCATCAAGCCTCGCAGAGTGGGTCACCAGGAGTCAAAATGAAATAGACTGAATGGGTTAAGTCAAGAGGATGAAAAAGGAAACAGCCATGTGTGCTTGAGGTCTGTGTCACGAGAGTAAAGAGGTTCTGGGGGAGACCTAGTGGCCTTTCAATAGTCATAATTGTCCTGGAAGGCAAGTCAAGGGCCCAGGGCCTCACAGCCAAGTTCAAGGTCAGGTAAGGCCTTAGGGATCCGGGTCGGAATGATTCTGCCATAGACAGGTCTGTACTATGGCAGGAAACCCACCTGGGAGTAGCCGATGACAATTCCCTGGTCATCCAGCACGTTGAAATTGATGATTGGCCCCTGAACCTCAGGACTGCTGAACTCGGAATCGCTGTAAATCCGCACCACAGGGGCTCCGTTGGGGTACCGGAGGGAGGTGAGGGCTGTGTAGGTGTACTGTGCCAACGTGAAAGTGTGCTGCCTAATGTTCTCCATCCCCCCTGAGAAGCAACAATGAAAGGTTACAAGGAAATCAGGAGCTTTTTACTGAGAGAAGAAACCCAATCACCGTAGCCTCATACTAAAGTCAGTGCCCATTCACTAAATACGCAGGTCTCTGACAGTCAACAACAGGTTGCCATGGCTATTTCTGTGGAATTTTCCCTAAAAGTGTTTCATACCTTCTTTTATGCATATATAATATTGCTAAACATTCAGATAAATATGCACCCTATCTAAAAATAAAAATGCCCACTGATGTGGACTTGATCCCAACTCCTGACAGCCTTCTGTCTCACAGAGCAGAACAGAGTCCCAGCGGGTTTGGCTGTGATTTTCGTGACAGCAGGTCGCCAGGCCTTTTCTCTGTGGCACTGCTGGCTGAGCTCGACTCACCCACCTTAAGTAGCAGTTGAGCACAAAGCGTGGTGACACCCCCAGACCTCACAATCACCCCCTCACTATTATCAAGTCTAGTCTGATCTGCAGCAACACCCCAGTCAGGTTTCTGAGACCCTAAATTGTAACAGGAGACTTTCCATTTCCTCCTGAGGAGCAGCTGGTGGCTTCGAACAGCTGGAGATGAGGCACCTTTGGATTAGCTGTGCGACCTGCTATGGACTACATCACCAGAGCACCCTGGGCCTCACAAAAAGGAGCAAAACAAGTGCAATTTTTTTCTTTACAAGAATACTTTTTTCCTACCTTTTTTCTTTATGTTTAAATATTATGAATGTTATAAAATGTTACTTAAATATTAATGGTCTAAAAAGTCATCAACAAGAATAAAACAAAGTTTGCCTTGTTGCAGAACTGATGCTTCCACCTTTTGATTTGCCTGTCGGACCCTGGCACCTGTGGTTTCGGTGCCTTGATGTTACTTTTGTTTCGCAAAGGGCTCTTTTTTTTTCTGTTTGAAATATCCTTTATTTTGTCAGCATCTGTGTTTGTAATAGATGGGCCCTGCTCACAATTCATATAATGGACCCAAGACAGAGCACACGAAGTACACCTGTCACGGGGAGATGGTAGGGGCTCAGGAGCAGTGGTGCGTGGGTCTGGGCTGGGTCTCAAGACAGCAGGTGCAGAGGTGACGATGAATCAACAGGTCAGAGGGGCCTGCTCAACTGTCTGGTCCTGAAGAGAGATCCCAGGTTCTTTTAAGGACTGGAGAAGTTTAGGAGAGAGAGGTGGATTCTGGTATCTTGTAAGTGTAGCTGCTCCCTAAAAGAAATCCCAACCCTCCTCCTGTTCCCATCTCTCCACCCAGCGATGGCAAAGGACTCTTTCTCAATGTCTGTCCATTATCTCTTCTCTTTGTCCTGAGTGAAACCCAGGACAGACATCCCTTCTGATGAGTCCATATAATGGGCCCCATGGCTGTGCCAACAGTGAGAGAGAGAAGGCACCGTCTAACTTCTAAGACTAGCCCCAGGCTGCCCAATCTCATCCCTGTACTGACAGGACAAGCAATGCCATCCAGTTTGAGAAGACTGGTCACTGGCAGGCAGACCCAGGAGCTCAGCATGAGGGGATAAATCCTGGTTCAACAGACAGAGGCTGTCCTCATGCGCCCTTTTTGTCAAACCTCATACTGGAAGAGTGGCCTCTGTCCATGCATCCAGTGACTGTCCCCCACCTGTCCCTGCTCCAAGCACTTGCCAGTGAAGAGGACATGCATCCTACACAGGCCACCAGTCGAGACAGCAGTAGAGCCCTCAGCTTTATGTCCCGTGTGAGCTGGACTGACATCCTAGCCCTCTAGCTGGCAGCTCCCTGGCTCCACAGATGGCGCTCACACTTCCTCAGCATCAGTTATGTGGGCAAAGCAGCATCAAAGAGAGGAGGACCCCGTCAGGGAAGAGTTAAGCAAGGGCAGCCTCTGTTTCTGCCAATCTGCTCATCTCCTATCTGTCATCGAAGCTCTAGTGTGCTGACAATTCAGCAGGATGCTGCTAACCAAAAGGTCGATGGTTTAAACCTACCAGTCTCCTCCCATAAAGATGTCTAGCTTTGGAAACCTTATGTGGTAGCTCTCGTCTGTCCTACAGGGTCTCAGTGAGCGGAAATGCAATCAATAGCAGTGGGCTTGGCGGTCTATCAGAATGTTCCTTTTACTCTAAAAATAAATATGTGGAAAACACCTCCATCCTTTGCTCTCAGAAGTCATTTTGAAATTACTTCAAATCTGATCAAAGTACATCTAGAATCCAGCTACTCCCTCAGCTCCACCTACCTCTGCTGAGCCTCCCCATGCCAAAAAACTTCCAAAAGCGAGGGCAACAGGAACATGTTCTGTACAGACGGAAGTGTCCACTGACCTGTGAGGCGTTCCAGTGCATCAAATCCATGGTTCAGTGCTATGATGTCCAGGAATGAGATGGTGCCATCCTCAAGCCTGTAACAGGATGAGAGGAAGGTCGTGACCAGCATCTGCGTGGGCATGCTGTGGTCAGTAATGGGATTCTGATTTTCAGCGAAACCATAATCTATCAATACCTTCCCTTTGCCATCTTATGAAGCACTGCTCTCCCCAGTCCCCCGGAGATTGCTTCCCGCCCTAATTCCTATCTGACTCCCTCAAGCCCTAACTCACTCTGTAGCTTTCTGGTGTTGTTAGACACCACAGACTATGACTAATGACTCATAAATAACAAGTCAAAACCTTGCCCCTGAGTAATACACACGTAAATGTTCAAAAGGGAAAAGGGCGGGCAGAAAAAAGGGGACAGGGGAAACATCACTGAGATAGCAGAGGTGAGTGGGTGGAGAGGGTGAAGTGATGGAAAAGGGTCAATGGAGATTGAAAAGATGGGAAGACAAAAGGCATAGAGCAATGGTAATTGAATATATAAATATAACATACATGCATGATCAAATTGGCTCAGGATGGAGCAGAGCTGCTGTATATAAGGTCGCTGTGAGTTGGAGTTGACTCGATGGCACATAATAGCAACATTAAGGATTGTATAAAACACGAAGTACATATACAAAACTCGTTGTATGAGAATACAGAACAATAAAAATTTTTTAAAGCCAAGCCTTGCCCTGCCCGCACCACCACCACACCTCACACCCGGCTTGTGGGCGTCATTGCCATCACTGGGTCAATCAACCTCCTTTCTCTTTCACGGACCTTCCACTCTACTCTCCCAGTGCGAGCACTTTTCCCACGGACGGGCCCCTCCTGACACCATGCCCAGAGTCAGTGAGAAGACGTTTCCCCACTCTTGCCTCTAAGGAGAGCCCAGCGGTGCTCTCTGTAAGACTGCTTGTTCATTTGGCCGTCCATGGGAGAGTCAATATTCTCATCAACCCACAATCCAAAGGCATCAATTACACGACAGGCTGGAAACGGCCAAGTTAGCTGTTGCTGAGTCAAGTCTGACTCATGGAGTTTGCAGAGTTAAACCTTATCTTAAGGCTTTCAAGCTGTGACATTTTGGGAAAACAATCACTTGGTATACTATTAAGAGCCAAGACATTTTTGCTGTTCATGTTGTTGTTGTTATGTGCCGTCAAGTCACCTGCAACTCATATCGACCCTCTGTACAACAGCCCTAAACCCTGCTCTATCCTGTGCCAATTTGTCTCCGACACGTCTAGCCCTGTTACCCCAGTGACAGAATCAATACATCTCATTGAGGGTCTTCCTCTTCTGCACTGTCCCTCTATCCTCCCAAGTATGACTTCCCTCTCCAAGGACTGGTCCCTCCTTGCAACATGTTCAAAGTATGTCAGATGAAGCCTCAGAGTCTTTGCCTCCAAGGTGCAGCCTGGCTTCACCCTCTCCAGGCCAAACCTGTTCGTTCTTTTAGCAGTCCATCGTACATTCAATACTCTTCTCCAGCACCACAGCTCAAAGGCATCAATTCTCCTTTTATCATCCCTAGTTATTGTCCAGCTCTCTGATACATATAGCAAGTGACTGCAAAGACCATGGCATGTATCAGGTACACTTTAGTCTCCAGACTGACATCATTGCTCTTCAGTACTTTAGAGAGTCTCTAACCACAGGCTTTCCCATCACAATATGTCTTTTCATTTCTTGGCTGCTGGTGCCAAGACTGTTGATTGTGGAATCAAGCAAACTAAAACTGTGAACAATATCAATCTCTTCACCATCCATCATGATGCTGCCAGTCGGCCCAGTGGTGAGAATCTTTGTTTTCTTGATATTGAGCCTCAATCCATACTGAAGACTGCAGTCCCTGACCTTCCACAGCAAGCACTTAAGGTTCTCCTCAGTTTCAGCGAGCAGGGTTGTGTCATCTGCATAACCCAGATTATTGATGAGTCTTCCTTCAATCCTGATGCCACATTTCTCCAAAGCCAGCAAAATCTCAAATGCCTTGGGCTCCTGAAATGCTCTATTTTGGCCACAAGAGGGCACCATATCCAGTCAGTGATCAGCCAAACCACAAAGTTCTGAGGTTTATCAGTGTCACCCTGATGGGACCATAAGTTTTAGTAAAAATTACTCCGCTTTCATTAGTACAGCAGGTGTACACCTTCCCAAGTATCAAAGTGCTCATTATACTTGCATTTTGTAATTATTCATTTAGTCAAAATACTCATCAATCTTGACTACAGTGTGTCATGCACTCACTATTGTAGATTCTTCTTAAACACAGTTCCTAAGTGCTCTTCAATGTTATGTAAATTTTCTCTCATTTTTAAACAAGGCAATTCCTATTCATAGCAAATTCTTCACCACAATCACCTTCACTTTCTGTACACACAGCTTTTAAATCACTGGAAAGGCTTTTCTCGCACTAACATAGGCTAAATAAGAACTGTATGTACCTTTTTACAACTTATAAATGTAACTGAAGATACACTCAGAAACGGGTCTCACTTGTATCCTGCGGATGGCTTGTACACAAAATTAGAATCTATATTTAACAGGATACTCTGGAATTGTTATAGATCCCCGAATGAATCTTTTGTGTACCTCTTTCTTACCACATGTCCACACAGGAATCATCTGGGAGCCTTGTGAAAATGTAAGTTCTGATTTACCATATGTGGGGGAGAAATTCAAATTCTCAGCAGGGGACTGAACAGTCAAAGATCTACAAACACCAACCAAATACACAAAAAACCACACACATGTAAATAGTCTGCCAGGTAGTGGTAATGCAATGAAGATATTCAAGCAGGAAGGGGTGGTACTTCAAAAGAGATGTTCAGGTGAGCAGAGACCCTGTAGGAGGAAGAGAACAGGGGAAAGTGAGAGAGGCTACAGCGGAGTCCCCAAACAGGAGCACCTTGGAGGACCTCAGCGTGGCTGGGACGGTGACAAGGGGAGGCTGATGGGAGATAAGGTCTAAGTATCTCAGGGCCACATTGCTCCATCAAGAAGGGCTTTACCACTATGGCAGGAAGTGTAGCTTCTGTCCTGAATGAGATAAGAAGTGGCCAGAGCACTCTGAACAAAGGGACTCTGACAGGGTGGGCCCCACGTTAACAAGACTCCTCTGGCTTCTGAGAGAACAACAGACTGCAGAGATGAAAGAGAAGCGGGAGGCTGCAGCCACTGGTAGATGGAGCGACAGAATGCATGTTGAAGTTCCTACTGTAAATACTCAAGGAATATGATTAATTCAAAACATAATTGCAAGTATAATAAAACTAATTTTAATAGAGGGAGTTCTGGTGGCCTAATGGCAAGAAGCTGTACTGCAATCCCTAAAGCATGTAGTTCAAATCCACCAGTTGCTCCACAGTAGAAGGATGGGCAATCTCCTCCTGTGAGATTAACTGCCTCTGAGAACCCAGTGGAGGGTCAGATATGGGTCAGTTTTGACTGTATGGTACACACAACAATATTAATATACATCATTACATCAATAACAAATCCATTATTATAATCATCAGTGGATTAATAATAGGTTGCTGTTGTTATGGGCCATTGAATCGCTGCCAATAATAACATGCTATTCACTGATCAATAATAAATAATAATTCATCAATACTTAATTTATAGACTCTCAGGATAAGAAGGAAATTTTTTTTTTCTGCTTAGGTCAAAGATTTTATCTCATTGGGTTATAAAACACAAAAGGTTCAGAACTTTTTGTCCAGGTTGAATAATAAATCTCTTGCATATAGTCCTAAATCCATAAGACAAAACTAAGCTCCAAATGATAAAGTGCACTGCTTTGTGGGATGACCATATCGTGTCTGCTGCAAGACAACTGACCCCAAACAAAAGGAAGGAGTCCTGGTCCCACTCATGGCACCCCACAACCTCAGGGGCTGCCCATTTTTCCCACCTTCAGGTGCCCCAGCTGGACAAATAAAAGTAAGGTGACATGTTCATCCTGGGGGTTTTTTCTTTCTGTTTCTCTTTCATAGTATATGGATCCTGTCACTCTTTTTTTCTTACTTTCAGGTTACATGCTACACTATCACATTTGGGGTCAAAATCGATCAGCATTCCTGTTTTAGAAAAACCTCTCATTCCCTCGTCCCACAGAAAAGAGACATCAGCTAGGCTTTCAGCATGTGCTGAACATCTGCTCTGAACAGACATTTCATCCACGCCAGCTTGGTAGGAATGGTACCGGAAACCAGATAAGAGACACATATTAATAGTAATCAATAACTAGAGAATAGTCCTCTTAAAACAGGTAATCAGCACCATATCACTAGCAAAAGGAAAGTCATGGAGATAGACGTCAAAGGTGAACATTATTACATGCCCAATCCTGTGCTATCAGTAATAAAGAAGCTTTAATCTACAAATTAGGGCGTTCTGGAGGCCTAGTTCATACAGAGGTGCACTGGAAGTCCAACAACATGCCTCTCTGGTGGTTCAAGTCCATCAGCATCTCCTCGGGAGAAAGATGGGCAATCTCCTGCTGTAGGGTCAGCTCTGACTCAACAGCAATGAGTTTGCTGAGTTGTAATCTATACATTTATTTTAGAAAATAATTTTTTTAAAATAAAGAATAGCTAACAACTAATAATCTCTTAAAACACGACACAATGTGGATGCATCTGGAAGACATTATGCTGAGTGAAAAATCTCCATCACAAAAGGAAAAGTGCTGCACAAACTCACCGTTGTAATAATAGGATTGGTAAGAAGTGGGGGCAGGATGGCAAGGACAGGAGAAGAATGGCAGATAATGAACACTGAATGGGTGAACCGGTAATGAACAAAGAATGGGCAAAAGGAAGAACAATCTGAAAGGAATAGATGAATATAAATTATGTGTATGACAAGGGATTTGGAGGGAGGAAACAGGCATGAATGAATGATAGCAAATCCATTTGTGAAACGTCACTAAAATAAAGTACCTTATGTACACCCATATTCATTGCAGCTTTGTTCACAATAACAAAGAGTTGGAAACAACCTAAGTGCACATCACATCAACAAACGGATGGATAGAGAAGCTCTGATATATTCACACAATGGAATACTATGCTGTAATGAAAAACAAGGAACTCATAAAATATTATTCAAAATGGATGACTCTGGAGGACATTATGCTTAATGAAATATCTCAGTCACAAAAGGACAATACTGCATAGTGCCACTGTTGTAAAATGGGACTAACATCAGAGTTGAGGGGAGAATGAGAAAGAGGGGACAAATAATGCATACTGCATTGAAACAGATGATGGATAGAACTGTTTTAAAAAGTAATACATGATTAGGTATTATTATCATGACAAGAGTCCAGAATGAAGGCTGCATGGTGGAGTGCACTTGTATAACAATGAAGGAATTTTTCTTTTACTTTTAAAAAAGAAGAGTGAATTGGGCGAGATGAGTGGGCAGGAAGAAAAACACAATAATGAATTAATGGAAACCCAAAGTCTCTGTAAATGCTCATTAAAATTAATTTAAAAAAAA